AAGGGCGGGGAAGGGATAAAGAAGGCAGGGAGAGGGAAGGTAAATGGCTTGACGAGCAAGACTGGATTTCACAGTTTAGAGCCGGGCAGGTTGGATCTGACCAATTGAAGCACCTAGTTTGGAGAGATGGGCAGGGTGGATTTGAGCAACCCCCGCACCTTCCAAGGTGTTGTGCTTTTATGGGGTTGGTGTGTTAAGAGAAACCCAGTAGGCGACTCTTAGTGGGTGGGGGCAATACTGAACTTATAGGACTATCATATCTATAAACATGAACTGCTAGAGCACACCAGACAAACACAAAAAAAACCCTAAACCTTAAGCCCCTCCTATCATTTTGAATCCTTGAGCCCCGCCCTAGACCCTAAACCTCTGAACCCTGAACCTGGATCCCCAATCCGCTTAACCCTCCCTAAACCCTAAACCCGAAACCCTAAAGCCTAAACCCTGAACCATCAAGCTCTGTAACACAGGCCAGCTGTGCGGGCCCTCTGGCTTTCTCGCCTTCACACCGGACCGATGGGGGATTTGTGTTTTATCATTTCTAATCTATTCAGGTCTATGTTGGGTTCCCTGATGTAATCTAACCACCATTCTAGGGTTGGGGTGCAAGGTTTCAGGTTGAAGTTTGGGGGTCTATAGAGGCTATGTACGGTTTAAGCTTGGGTCACCAGCTTAATCTTAAACGTCCGTATACCACTGTATATTCCCCGGTTTCCTTCGTCGTAAGGACCAAAACAGGACCCACAAAGTGGTCACACCCAAAACTCATAGACATACACAAGGATCCCTCATCAACGTATGCAGCTTCCTCCGCAAATTTCTGAAAATGGGCAGGCCCCAAAGAAGTACTCAAAGCTAGGAAGAATCCTGGTTCGCTAAACAAACCGAATTAAAAAAATCCCCTCCAAGCTGGAAGCCTATGACGTCAGCAGCTGCGCCCAGTCCTTCCCAAAGCTTGGGTCTCGGGGCTCAGGATATTGCCTTCACCCTAATAACGAAGCCTCCTGCCCCCTAATAACAAATGATTAGGCTGTTCTGTTGTTTGTTAGGCCGGGAATTGAGAGGATCGTGGGTGAAGCAAATTTCACCACAACTGTAGCGTTTTACAATCGCACGCACCGAACAAAATGCCGCAATTCAAGTGCCCTCATTATGGTGCAAGACTTTCTGCAGCAACGGCAGCAGTAGGAGCATCAACAACTCAAGGTTTGTGGGTTAGTCTCTCTCTCAGACCCGTCCTACCCTCTACTCGGAGGGTCAGGGTGACTTAATATGTAGGCTTAAAACAGGGATAACTAGGGTTACTATATGGAGTATAGGACAGTATAGGGCTTCCTAATCTACTTACTAAGCCCAGCGTGCAGGTAGGCGCAGGCGGACGTAGGCTGGTAGATCTAGGAAGCAGGGCAGCAAAATATTTCAGTAACCTCAAAGCAAGGACCCTACAAGCCTATGACTATCCTGTGAGCTATAGTCTCAACTCCTGGCATCCCGCTTAAAAACCCCTATAATGGTCCCCTGTATAATCCCATAAAATCCACCTTTAAGGAGTTAAGGCTACAGCTCATGTGACTTTTCTGTTATGGGGGCTACCGACATCGCCTCTTCAGAGGGGTCTGCGGCCTTAACTCCCTGAAGTGCCGACCAATCAAGTCTTTCCACTAAGCCCTGGCCCCTAGACAGAAACTGCAAGCAATCAGGTCCTTCCACCGTGTTGATGACAAGGTCACTGGGAAAGCTCGCCTGACCACGGGGTATATGGCAGCTTTGCCACGCCCCAAAAAGAGACACCCAAAAAGATATCAAAATACAATAGTCCTTTTGATCAGTACTCCCCAATTCGTATCCCTAATTTTGGGAAACGCCCATATGGTAGGATGTGGGATTCGGGGATGAACAATGGCGATGAGCAGTAGAGCGTACACAAGGACAACACGGGTAAATGAGAGGGGATGCTTGTACATGTAAAGTATAGTCTAAACTCCGGCTATCCCCCTGAATAACCCCTATAATACTCCCCCAGAATACTCGCCTACACAACCCCTGTTAAGGAGTTTAGACTACAGCTCATGTCTATGAGGATTATAGACCAAAGGGTAATTAAGTCATTTCTCAGGATGATGAAGTTGAGGGGCCTTCAGACTCAAGGTGACATGGGAATGGCGTGGGGTTGAAGAACTATTAAAGAGTGGGCCAAGCTACATGAGCCACTGTCTAAACTCCTGGTATACCCCTTAATATCCCCTATGGTAGTTCCCTATAATCCCCTATATAACCCTCCTTTAAGGAGTTTAGACGATAGCTCACATAAGCTTCTGATGCCAGCGCCTTAGGGGACCCTGTTGCCTCAAGTAGAGGCAACAGTTGAGTACCTTGGGCATGCTGAAAGGTAAACCCCCCTACTGCAGAGGTGCCCAACCTGTTTTTCTTGTGATGGCATCTGCGGACCTACTCTAAACCATACAGCCCGAACCCCAAATGTTCGAATCAGGGTCTAGGGTTTCGGGCGTAAATATTCTAAACCCCACACCCTGAACCCTGCACCTTGTACTGGAGACCTGAACCCCAAGCCTTCTACAATGAAACCCACACCCTGAATCCCAAACCTTTTCTGTAAACCCCACACCCTCTGAACCCCTAACCTTACACTAAACCCTACACCTTCAACCCCAACCTTCTCCTCGAAGCCCCAAGCCCTGAACTCTGAGCCCTAAGCCCCCAAACCCCAACACCTAAACCTTAAACCCCACAACGCCTCCGCGCTTGTGGCTGGATGAGCTGAGATCTCGGTCAGTTGGTCCAAGGACTGACCCGGCCTAGAAGTTCTCACAATCAGGCTTCAGGGTTTAGGGTTTAAAGTTTCGGGATTGGGGTTTAGGGATTCAGGGTTTAGGAAGTCAGGGTTCAAGGATATTACCCGCCCACAATGCAGAATCACGGGGCAAACAGCCTTGGTACAGGGATGAGGGGTTCCCCTTGAAGGGGCTTCAGGGTTCATATGCAGACAACATAGGAGTTATACAGGGTTAGGGTTGCCATAACAGAGTCAAATGCAAAAGAACATGGAACATGAGAAGGGAAAAGGAGGTTCATGTGTGGGGGTACAAATATGGCGACATATAGTGTCTATAGGCCTTCTGTAAGAAGAGGATATTGGTTACCGAAGATGAGTCCTAAGACAGTCACCGAGTCCTTGTGGTGGGGCAGGAAATGGACTTGATGACTTGATGCTCTACCCAAAAATACGCAGTATACGGAGGTACATCTATATACATATATATAGACATATTAGTTGGGTGTATATGGGACCGTATCAAAATCCAATCCACAGTAAGAAGTGTATGTCCACCCCCATACGAATTCTAATGCAGGTTGTCAGGAATCCTTCTAGTACATGTTCATGTGGGGAATTAGGGACCAGGATTTTACTATGCCGTCTCTTCATCACTTCGCTTTCAGTGTAGCGCTTTTGCTTGGTTCATGTACAGATAAAAAATGCTTAAGGTTTAGGGCGCTTTGCAGAGTTTACCATGTTCTGTCCATTGCTGTACGGCAGCGTTTGGGCACTCCCCCTGGCGCTAGATCCTTCTGAACCCTCGACTTCAACCTGCCTGAGATGCTAGGGCCGCAACAGCTCCGACAGCGCCGTGGAAGCTGTGAGGATCAGCGAGGACATGAGCTGACGATCCCCCTGAAGCTCATGGGATTTAGGGTTTGGAGTAGCCCTAATCCTGGAAAGCTATTGGTTCGGACTCTAAATCCTGAACCCTAAGCCCAAAAACCCTGCTGCTGGAGGAACTGCTTAGGTCGATGTTGCCCGGGGGGCGCCATCGTTCCTATTACCCATCTTCATCTCCATGCACAGACAGAAGGTCGCTGATGGTGCAGCAGTGGGAATACTTTACTTACTGGTTCGTAGCAGAGAAGAAGGGTTCCCTGCAGAATCCCTATGCGTTGTATGTACAATCTTTTATAACTAAATAGTTTCCATTTCTTGTCCACTTTCCCTATTACATTATATATATATATTCCCTTATTCCCTAAGTTGAGATACCTATACTCTAAACCCTAAGCCCTAAACTCTAAATCCTAAACCCTAAACCCTCAACCTCTTGGGCTCAAAGGCCAGGTCCAGGCTGCTTCAGCAGGAGTAGTCTGGCTTGCTGTTAAGGAACTTAACTCAAGTTACTAAGCTACTATAGGGGTATAATATAGAGTTATAGGGCTTAGGGTATAGGGTTAAGGGTATAGGGTTTAGGAACTTAATTCAAGTTACTATATTGGGGTGGCCCTATTCGCCTCCTATAATGGAGAATGAAGAGGGAAAAATGGAAAATGAAATGGAAACTGGGGGACTGTAGGGATTCAAGGAACTTAGTTTAAGTTACTATATTGGGGCAACCCTATTAGCTACTATATATACCCCTTATGGTAACTTAAACTAAATTCCCCGCTCCTTAACAGCAACCCAGTTGCTGCTTCTCAATCACCTCCACATGTCATGTACTACACAAGCACCCCCCCCAACACATGGCCACAGAGATATTACCCCGCAATAATGGAGAATCAAATGGAAAAGAACATGGAGCATAACATGCACACTGGGCGTATATGTCCCACATAGAGAAAGGGAGCCTTTTGGGCAGTCCCTTTACGGAAAGCCATACCTCAAAAAGTGCAAGGCTCCATCTCTAACATGTGGTAGTTTCCCTAAATTACTGTTCCCAAAATGGGAAAAATTTCTCTAGGGCCCCGTATTATAATGGGAACCCAAATATAGGACCCCGTATTATAGGGAATTTAAACCAATTCCAATGTATTTGGGGCGTAGGTGCACGCTGAAGCATGGAGCCTTGTGGGTGATAGCCCATGGCAGGCTAGCAGGTCTTGGCGAGGACCTGGGTCAATGATGAGATGCAATGTGAAGATTGCGGCAAGATCCTGATGATGCAGCACTCTGCACACGGGCAAATCATGGTCTGATTCAAAGCAGTGCGTGCTCACAGTTTTTTGACAGCAGCAATCATTGTCCTTTTTGTGGACTTCATGTGGGGCGCTGTTGTCATCTCCACGGTGGCACCGGAGACGTCAGCCAGTCTTCCATGCAGGTACTCCGCCCATGCGGCGTATTGCTTTTCGTCTGCCACGGATTTCCGGTAGAGATGCTTTAAGCATGCAGGGGCTTGGCGCAAATGTGGTAAGCAGCAAGGGACGATGATGCATACTCTCACATCCTCCACACCTTCGAAGAGCTCAATGGCACGCTCACTCAGCCGGCCACAGAGGTGGATTCCAATGATAGCCGCTGGTCTGCTGACCTGAGAAATTCTGTGGCTCAGGACATCCGTATAGTTCTGAGCAAACAAATCCTGCTGCAAGTACTGGACATTAAGCATACCAGCCCATGCGTAGTGTGGCAGACCTTCTGGCCCCACTCGATCTACTGCTGATATAGCCAACTCGGCAAGCTGCGAAGCGGCGAGGGCACATGTCAGAGACTTGCCACAGCACAGGTCAACGACATGCCAACCTAGGTTCCCCAGTAGCCCCTCAATAGGAAGGGTACCTTTTTTCCTACAATGCTCAGCTTTAATAAGACCCAAAAAGTAAAAGGGGAAAAGGGTACTACTCAGGTACCTTGCAACCCTTCCCATCAGCAAGCCGCAGCTCAGGGCATACCTCTTCAAGCCGGTCAAGAACTGCCAGGGACTCTGACAGCTCCTTATGTAGGCTTCGTGCCTTATGGAAGGTATGGAACTCTGGGCCCATCAGGGCCTCCCAGGAATTTGGCCAGTCCCGAAAGAAGCCCTGAAGCAGTGGATTTGTATGCTTTCCTTACTGGTTGTCCGTAGGAAATAAGGGATATGTATTATATAGCAGGGATAAGGGAAAAGAACATGGAAACCATTACAGTATAAAAGGGTGTGTATATATGACCTAAATAGTAGTTTCCATTTCCTTTTGCATTCTCCTTATATAACCCCTATATCACCCTGTAGTAGTTTGATTATAATATAATCCTTTATTCCCTGCTAAGCGCCAGTAAGTTTCCCTCACGGTAGCGGTCTGCTAATGAAGCAACCCTCGGGCGCCGCATCAGCTCTGCGCCACAGCAGGGGCATCTCCTGGGCTCTTCTCAAGCTACTAGAGTTTAATGTAAGGCAAATTAAGGTAATATAAGTAATGTAGGGTACTATAGGGTCATGTAGGGGTTATATAGGATAATACAGGGGCAATATAGGGGTAATATAGGGGCTATATAGGGCAATATAGACGTAATATATGGAAATATAAAGGTTATATAGGGTACTATAAGGGTTATGTAGGGTAATATGGGGTAATAAAGAGGTTATACAAGGATAATGGAAAAGGAAATGGGAACTACTATTTAGGGTTTAGGGTCTACCAGGACCCTCCTTGTACCCTGAAATAGAGGCATATGGTCCCTGATAGCGGGTACTTAAGCCTAAATAGGGGGTACTTGGAGGGTCTAGGAAGGAAGTTCATGAAGATCAATTACAACCATTGTTCAAAGCCCTATTGTTATCCTTACATGAAGCAAATCCCTGAACAGCGGCCTAAACCCTAAACCCTGCACCCTAAACCCTGAACAAAACAACAGCCCAAACCCTAAACCCTCAAAAATCAGCCTGGTCTCTGATCAGCTGTGTCAGCCAGCTCCTGCGCAGCCAGCGCCTTCAGGCATGATGCGAGCCCGGCCCCCGGAAACCCTCAACCTCAAATACCAGCATTCATTCTCTTTTCCATTCCCCGTATATACGATCTATACATATCTACAGCATATATATATACATATATTTATCTATCTATCTATCTATCTATCTTTACAGTATATCCCCAGCGCCTCCAGGCGCGATGCGAGCTGGGCACCCCCAGGCTGCATCGCTGCGTAGTCGGCGGCCGTGCGGAAGCTTCGGCTCTTTGCAGCGACGTTGGCGCAGCGGCCGAAGGCAAGGATCCGCTCCACCTAAGCACCAAAAGTATGCAAAAAATAAACCTAAACCCCTAAAGGCCACTATTTTACATACTTTTGGGGTGAAGGCACCAGTTCCTCATAGATTTCGCCTGAAGCTCCGGCTGCGAGCATCAGCGGAGTGCAATCCCGACGCCGGGATCTCCGGCGCAGCAGCGCCGTGGCATTGCGGGCCTGGAGCAGCTCCATCGCCTTCTCCCGCTCTCCAACCTCCAGAGCGGAGAGTAGAGCATTGGGATCTCCTCCTTTTTGATCATGAAAAATACTGATCGTTAGTAGGGAAAAGGGGAATACATACTATATAATCGGGATCATGGAAAAATTCCAACTATTACATCACAGAAATCTCCTCCTTTTTGGTCATGAGCAAAAAGCGCAGTATCTCGCACGTTGCGTTTAGCCGGGTGCCACGGCCCAAGGACGAAAGTCCAACACAGGGACACGAGGGCAAAAACTGCAGTCAGCGCAAACAGCTGCCGACCAGCTTGCCTCTGCATCTGCACGTCCAGATAGTCCGTGACTGAATCATCTGGGCTGCTCTTAAGGAACTTGAATATTAAGTTACCAGAATATGGGTATACAGTAAGTAACAATAAGGTTTCTTTATTATAGTAACTTAATTCAAGTTCCTTAACAGCAACCCAGCCATTCAAGGCTTTGAGCTTGATCTGTGATTGCCAACTAGCTGACTAGGCGGTGTGTGTACTTGAGCCATGTTCTTGTCCTTTGACACCATGTTTGCCTCTCTCGGAGCCAGCTTGGACTGCAGGGAACTGAAGCTGTTGGATTTTCTCGTGAGCAATTTATACTTACTGGCTCTTAGTAGGGAATAAGTGAATAGATATATGAATAGAATATATAGGGATTAAATTCCCTTATCCACTACTAACCCTCAGTAAGAATAGACAAACAGGCAAAAGGCACTAAGGCCGCAACGACTGGCAGCAGGAATCCTTGCCACCGTGCATTGCATTGGGTTGATGGGGAACTTGCAGGACTCTTCAAGAAAATTAGCGACGTGCCTGCGCTTTTGAGTTGCGATGCATGCTTAGCTTTAACCATTAGCTCCAATTCGCTCCAGAAGCGACTCCGCAACGCCTGCTGCGCAGAACTCAGCCAGGGACCAGAGTCTGTAAAGAGCTCTGCACCTGGCATCGCATTCACCATCTACACTTGTTAGCAGGAATTGCGCAACTACTAACGTACTGTCACAGTAATCAGCATGGTATTGTTGTTATTTACAGATACACAGATGTAATGCTTCTCTCGAAGCTTCCGGAGGGGAAAGGAGGCCCAGAGCCTGCTTAATCGCCATAAACAACGCATTTGCTACACCTCGTCTTCTTGAGGTAGGGCTTAGGATTTGGGCTTTAGGGTAGGACAAGGAGGAACCGCATCCACCGGATTACTACTTCAAGCCCTCTGTCCACCCTCCAGACTCCGCAATCACGAATCTCAGGACAAAACTACGGGCCCCCAGTAACTATGGGCCCTAAATCTGAGGGGCCTATATCCATGATGTTTTAAAAAAGCCCTGGGAAGGAATTTGGAGGACCCAGGAAGCAGGTAAAGGCCCATATTACAGGCCCATGGCTAGGACCTTACGATCACAGTGCGTTGCAAGGCCGCCCTGACTCTCAGCAGAAGATGCTCGGCGTTGTGGCGTAGGGCTTAGGCTTCGCAAGGGGTGCTGACCTTAGGCTTACATACTGTTAGTTCAGCAGCTCAAACACGACTAGGGATTCTGGAAGAAAGTGCCGAGGACAATCTGGGTTGCAGTCTTGAATAGGGTTTGTGACTAGACATCATGTGAGCCATAGTCTAAACTCCTAGTATCCCCCTTAATAACCCCTATAGTAGTTCCCTATCTAATTCCCTGTATAACCCCCCTTTAAGGAGTTTAGACTATGGCTCATGTCTACTCCGCCCCTACCAGGAAGCCACCAGACTTGGCTTCTACTAATGCCGACTGGTATGAAAAATCTTCTTCCCCTGGAAAAAACGACCTGCTGAAAATATAGCCAACTTCGTCTAGGTTCCCCAGCAACCGCATAATAATAAGGGTACCCTTTTTCCTACTGTTCAGCTTTAATAGGGAGACCCCAAAATAAAAAGGGAAAAAGGGTACTACTGGGGTACCTAGTTGTTTATGCAGCAACACAAGCTTCGGATCAGCAACATGTACTGAAGGCAATGGTGTATCGGCAGTATTTTCGAAATACTGCACAAAAGGCATGCTCTTGGTGATTCCTTTGCATTTGCTGTCCTCACTCCGACCCTGAGCCCTAAACCCCAAACTCTGACCCTTGGCCGCTACACCCTGAGCTCAAAACCCTGAACTGCCCTGAACCCAAAACCCCTACACGCTAAGCCCTAAACCCTGAAACCCTAAACCATACCTGGCCCATTCTGACCTGGCCCTGCATCTCCATGATCTCGATGGGCGAAGGGCTACGAGCTCCGGAAAAAGGCGATGGAGTCCGCTGCGCACGAGATCTTAGCGGCCCACTAATGGAACAAAATGGAGAATCAAATGGAAAAGAACATGGAAAATGAAATGGAAACTGTGGTTATACAGCGGCTTTTAGGGGTTAGGGTTTCCCATAATAATGGAGAATGAAATGGACAACATACTGGAAATGACATGGACTCTGGGCTTTTAGAGGGTCACGCTTGACGGTTGGGCTCAGGGTAGGGTATGGAGAAATTACGCGGTGCTTTTCAAGGTTGGGGTTCCTAGGGCCTAGGGCATTTTCGGACAGGGAAGACTTTTGACGTAAAGCTTGCGTTCAGAAATAACACTGCTTTCTATGGGATGAAGGAGACATCCGAACTAGACTTCCTCGCTACAAGTACAACTTCCGCAGCAACGGCCCTCAACTTAAAAAGTCCTAATTAAACCCTAAACCCTAAGCCCTAAAGCCTAAACCCCTAAACCCTAAATCCTAAACCCTAATACCCCCATGGCTAAAGAGCTGGATCTGCTCTGTTGCCCCATGCCGACCCAAGAGGATGCAACACCCTAATTGAGTGTAGGGGCTGTATACTGGGTTGCTGGTAAGGAACGTAAATCAAGTTACCATAAAATGTATAGGTTATATAGGGGTATATAGGGATATATAGGGATTGTAGGGTTTAGGGTTAAGGAACTTAGATTAAGTTACCATAATATGGGCATGCGGTAAATAATGGGATTTCCTTGTTATGCTTAATTTAAGTTCCGTAGCAGCAACCCAGTAGAGGAGTTGTTCTGCTGCTTTATCGGGATTCTATTAGAACATTGGGATATATGAGCAACCTAAACCCTAAACCCTAGTGATATGTTACCCGAATGGCAGGTAGACTCTTTAGGAGTTGGTGTGTGTGAGTACTGTAGACAGGTAGTTCAAGGGCCTGAGTGAAGATAACCTGGCGGTTTAGGGTTTATGTATAGGTTAATGGCTGGACAAGTTAAGTTTATATAAATGCAGGATTATGAGGACGTATCATTCATGATAATTCGGGCACCATACAATAAGTGAAGAAATTCACGCACGTTGGAGTGTCGATAGCCTTCAGTATTTGGGTCCCGCCCGCACCCATCAACAGTCTATAATGGGGGCCATACTTCGCGCAGTATATAGATATAGTATAAATACTATCTGACTGTTAAGGAGTGGGGGCAGTATCCTATTCATAACAATTAAGGTTTTTGTTGTCTTTCAAGCAGGCAGGTGCTGCTAAGTTGCCTCAAAACAAGCCACTCCCAGCTGAGTCGGGGCAGGAGGCCTGTAGAGATCTAAAATTCAGTTGAGGATCTAGGGTGTTGGATGTGGGGGCGTACTCTGCTGTGCTAGTATAAGGACTGGATAATTTTGGTGATTATTTGTCTGCCACATTAGAGCCAATCCAACGCCAGTCTCGGCTGCCGATTGTATTTCAATTCCACGTTTTCAGTACTAAGATGATCAAACTCAGGAGAAAGACGGCGGCGTGGAAAGGCAGCTCCTAGTGCGTGAAGGCGTCTGGCAAACAACAGAGTTCCATATGAGACAAGAACTCCCATCATGTTGACGTAGACTTTCACCTCAACAGCTATGTAGAGTCTCATGAGTGGCTACAATACCGGCTACAACAGGTACAATTGCCACAAAGATGTATTTATCCAGATAAGAGCCCGACCGACATCCCTACCTACGTACCCAGCGACCTGGCTAGCTACCGACCCACCCTAAACTGACTCTAAACTGGCTTGCTGTTAAGGAACTTGAGAACGATTACCATAAGAAGGGTATATAGCAAATTTTGGCTGCCTGATTATAATAGCTTAACTTAAGCGGCTTAAAGCACCCCTGAACCCTAAACCCAGTAAATGCACTGCAATCCATCGGTTAGGCTGGCGCGGGCATCTGGTGGACGGTGTCTCCTGAGGCAAGCTTGTACTTTGACAGGGTTTAAGGTGTAAGGTTTAGGGTTTAGGGTTTAGGGTGTAGGGTTTAGGGTGCTCAGGCAACTTAAGCATGTTGAGGGATATCAAGTAGTTGGGCCCCTCACCCTGGAATACAGGTATAACAGGAGTATAAGAGAGTCCTAACTTCCGAAAAGAGCTGCAGAAGTTCGGGTGTGGGAGCTTCCGAAACCCTAAACCCTAAACCCTAAACCCTATGTCTGGCCTTTGCTTGGAGCGTTCTTTCCAGTGCGTTTTAAGTTCCTGTTTCCGGTTAAGGGCGGAAGTTGCATCGCCGACTGCAGACTTAAACCCTAAACCCTAAGGCCTATAGGGCTTAGGGTTTCCTAAATCTTGAGCCCTAAACCCCAGCCCTTCACTCAACCCTACACTGCTAGCCTCTTGGGCAGCAGGGGGAAGCTTTCAATCCTCTGGGCTTGCAACTTGCAGTGTTTAGGGGTTTAGGGTTTAGCTTAACCTAATTAACCTAATGTAAGTGTACTTATACTTACTGGGGGTCACTGGGTAATAAAGGAACATATTGTATAGAGATTGTATTCCCTGATTCACTAGTAGCCATCAGTAGATATAACCTGCTAAGTCTCCGAGCATGCCTACAAACTAGGCTAGAGCTACCTTTGGCTCATAGTTACCATGGACCTCCAATTACGGAATCCCTACATGCAAACCAAGTTCCCATGCCATCACCTAACCCTAAACCCTAAACCCCAAACCCCACATCCAAATCTCTCTGGGCTCCCTGGACAAAGCAATAAGTGGCCCTGTGAAGACTCTTCTCAAATGGTGCCCGTATGGGGTTCCATGAGAATTCTGAACTTGAAAAGAACTTGTGGCCTATATCGGTTAGCTCAAACCGGAGGCCCATGGGTACTTACAGCTGCACTTTAACCCATGTACAAACCCTCTACAGGCTCCTGATGAGGTAATACCTGGGTTACAGCTATAATTAATGTATGCTTGGGCTAGAAGTCCCACTCACAACGCTAAATCATCTGGACTATGATTGGGTTATAAGTAAGTACCCGTGGACCTTCCGGTAGGGATCTGTCATGTCTGTCATGATTCCCCTACTATCCCTAGGTTCCCCCTTAGTTAACTAACCTCAATCAGCCCTCATTATCCTTAAATTGCTTTTTGGTAAGGGGAACGTAGGGGTCTGTGGGTAGTATACGAGGAGCTGGTAAGCAACCCCAAACCTCAACCTTATGTAGCAGGGGAGTGTAGCAGGGGGAATCCGTAGGTCTGGGAATCCAAAACCTAGACCCTAAACCCCTAAACCCTAAACCCTAAACCCCTAAACCCTAAACCCTAACCCCGAAACCCTAAACCCTAAACTCCTAAACCCTAAACCCTAAACCCCTAAACCCGAAACCCGGTCCGTGAGTCGCTTCATGGGCCATGGCTTCGCCACACGCGCCTGGCATCAGCTGGCTTCAGGTTTAGGAGTCTGGGTTGATAGTTTTGGGATTAGGTTTTCGCATTATCCAGGGACTACACAAGGTTTTGGGATATTCTCTGAATAGTGGGAAATCAAATGGAAAAGGCATGGAAGATGAAATGAGAACTGGACGTAAGAAAGCACTATTGTCTTGAGGTGGATTTAGTTTTGGTAGAGTCTTGGGAAACCCCCAAATACCAGAGACCCCGTAGGAAGGACCCTTACAAGGGACTTACACCGGAACCTAGCGCTTTCTTAGAGCGTCTGTCAAATTAAATCTGGAGGCCCCTGAGGTTCTACCTGATTTACGGTATGTATAGGGTCTGGGACTTGGGGTTTAGAGTTTGGAGTTTTTGGTTGTTGCTTTTTGGTTTTAAGTTTGGGGTCGGGCGTTTGGGGCATAGAGCTTAGAGCTTCGCTATTTTGATCTAGGGTCCGGTCTAGCCTCGAACTGAAAGGCTTCTGAGACATGATCTGGAATCTTTTTCCATTACGTCTCGTACCTATGCAGGGAGTTGGAACTCCTTTTCTCGGTTACTACAGGGGCCTAGATAATTGCCAATATCATTTTAAGGTCCCATTTGAGGTACCATAGCCTATAACTGTACAAGGAATATGGAACCACAATATTGGAAATTACTTGCGCCCCTATACTAGGGCTCATATTTATGATTGGAAGGGTGCACAGGGAGGTGTCTCTGGGTCTTGGAAGCCTCGACTCTCACATGCATTTTTAAACCGTCCCACCTCCTGTTGGGACACCGTAACGTATCACAGCTTCAGGTAGTGTGGGTTACAAAAAGAACCATGGAAACCAGTCAACCCTAAACCCTACACCCTAAACTCTGCCAGACAAGGTTCCCCGAGATACCAAGTAGTCCTTGTAGACTTCATCCTAGACAGAGATCCATAATTCAAGTTTTTGAGGAATTGCCATATGAACTATGGTCTTAATTCCTAGTATCCGCCTTAATGACGCCTTTCAAAAACACCTGTCCCCTATATAACCCTCTTCAAGGAGTTTAGACTATAGCTCATATACAAATCAAGGTTCCCCAGCAACCCATTAATAATAAGGGTACCCTTTTTCCTACTATTCAGCTTTAATAAGGAGACCCCCAAATAAAAAGGGAAAAGGGTACTACTGAAACCCTAAATCCTAAACCCTAAGCCCTAGGTACTACTGGGGTACCTTGACAAATAGCCCTGCCTTGTCTGAACTTCGCAGCTTCTGCGCTTTTTGTGTTGAACGGGGTCTTCTCCAAGGGGTGTCTCGGCAAGACCTTGGAATTGTCTTAGGCTTCTGTGATCGTCTTATAGAAGTTGTAAAAACTCGCCTGATTCCAGGGCTCCTTGACTGAGGTCAGTTTGTAGTTTCCATTCTCTTTTCCAGTACTCCCAAAACCTTTAGCACTAAACCCTGAATCCTGCACCCTACGCCCTCAACCCTAAGTCCGAAACCCAAAACCCTGACCTCCTTAACCCTAAGCCAATAAAATTCCTGAGGCCCGAAAACCCTAAGGCCCTAAAAACCCTAAACCCCAAACCCTAAATCCTAAACCTTAAACCCTAAAATCCTGAAACCCTAAACCCTATGGACCCAAGGCCAAGGCCAGAAAGCATAGGAGGGAGGCTTAGTGCTGCCCCAGCCATCTTGACCATGGCACACCTGCAGCATAGCTACTTTAGGGTTTAGGGTTTTATGGCTTAGGGTTTGTGGGCTTTAGGGTTTAGGGCTTCAGGGTTTGTGGGGCTTTAGGGTTTAGGGTTTTAGGGTTCGAGGTTTAGAGCTTAGGGTTTAGGGCGTCCAACCCTAAACCTACAATACAGGCTTCATTGGGTATTATCAAAATAAAGCGTGAGTGCTTTCTTGCGGGTTGGGGTTCTGAGTAGGGAAGAAGGGAATATAATCTCTATATCACATATTCCCTTTTTCCTAAGTATCCCCCAGTAGGCGTTGGGATCCTTACAATACAGGCTTGATTGTTCTCGGGGGCAGATAAGGGCACCTTAATTTGAAGCAATGCTCAGCTGACAATGAGAATGGCGATGCTTCAGCTCGGGTTTAGAGAGAGCGTATGGTTCAGCATAAATATTTGAAGGGGTGGGAGGAGTTAGGGCTTAGGGAAGTTTAGGGAGGCAAGTACATGGGCCCCTTTTCCCAGGATTTGCGCAATGAGGATCAAGATGGGGTCCTTACGGCCTCAGCGAGACATAATCTAAAACATATCCGCCAGCTGAGCTTGGACATAAGATTTTCTGAGTTCCTAAAGGCTACTTGGTATGGTGAGCAAATTGCAATGCCACGCGGGAATCCCGCACGACCTTACATGCGCACGGCCAAAAAAATGAGTGTCCCCTGTACATACCTCAAAATATCATAATTCTGAGTATAAGGACGCTTAAAAGGAGGCTCCTAAATTTTGGCACCCGCCATTCTGTTAAAGTATACCTAGGATCCTAAACCCTAAACACTAATCCTAAACCCCCCCAGTCACCAACCCCGGAACGTATGAAGGTCGGAAGCAACTTTTTTGGCGCCTGCGGCCGCTTTGGGCCTGAAGGTCTAGGGTGTGGGGTTTAGGGTTTAGGGTGTAGGCTATCCTCAAGTTGCTGAACCCTTTACTGGTAATAACGGAAAGGAGGCATGGACGAGAAAATGGAGGCTACTTATCAGAATTATATGGGGGCTATTATAAGGATCCAGTCCGCTAGGTCAAGGTCAGTAAGGTGGGGTATCTTAGAAAACAAGTGTAATCTGGCGAAGTTTCTACAAAGGAATGTAGGACTATACGATATGAGGTTGTTGTAGCCTCAGCGCTGTTCTACCAGGGTATACCCATATGAGTAGTGTTTTTTTGGTGGTTAAAACTAGTAAGATTATGTTCCTTATACAAAATACTATACCCCAAAAGGAGGATATACTCTTACTCTATAATGGGTACCATAGTAGCCCCAAATAAAATACTGCTCATATGAGTTGGTAACCTAACTTCTCACATGAAGGGCTTCGTCTCTGATGAGTCAGGTCAGAGAGCGATCACAGAAGACCACCTCACAGTTGGACAGATAACGGCCGAGGACCTCGAAGCGGTAGGGCTTAGGGGTTAGGGGTTAGGGTTTTACGGCCCCTAAAAAAGGTGAAGTTGTGTGACCTTCAAGTTTCTTGAGTACTGCAGTGAGGCTTTCCTTCTACACCGCCGACAAATCGATTCAAGCCTTGCAAAGATACTGAAGGAACTCTTTTGCTGATTTGAACAGCTTCAGACTTGCGACTGTCGTACTGCCTGCTACCCAGATTCTGAAGTGCTACCCAACGTAAGGAAGAAAATGGTTCGTGTTCAAAACATTTTGAAACAAGTTCGTGTACTTTGTGGAGTTGAGGGTTTGGGTCGTGGGATGTAGAAGCGTGGGGACCGTCCAGGAACAATGTTGGAGGCCTATTTATGCCTGACTTGCCGAGGCAGGATGTTGGAACCATGACTGACGCAAGTAATCATCCTAGGATTTAGGGTTTACAGACTGCCTTTTTTCAGTACCGGGAAGGAGCTATGCAGGGTTACTTCTGTCAAGCATGCCTCTCTGAGAGGCGTGCCCTTTCCCAGAAGCCACCATGTCCGACGAACACAATGCCTCAGCGCACTGACATCGCATTGCACTGCATGCTTCAATTTTTTCGATCCCCTGGAACCATGTGGGAAGTTATCTACGGATCATATGAGCGCCCCTATAGCGGGCATTATGGGTCTATGTAGGGGATCTACTGCTCGGTTCAACAGGCTAATTGCCTTATAACAAGCTCTTAAAGGCTGCTGTACACTGTACCACTAAGCTACATCATCACGAAGTCTATAGAACCTGGTATATTATAGAATATTCTAAATACTATAATATAGTATATAGTACTATGATATACTATATTGTATTAGGACGAGACTCCCTTCTTGAGTCAGAGACATCTGAAAAGAAAAACAGCGGCGCCATGTTTGCAACACAAGGCACGTGGTGTCGTTATTGTAGAACGGTATAGAAGACGTCAAATGGGATCACAACTCGCTTACATGAGTGCATGTATGGTTTCAATATCACGTCTTGCCATGCCCCATGGGGCCCCTAAAGACGATTACTGTGGACCTTGTAAGATGCTGAAGAACATAGCTACTCCTTCTGAAGCCGCTTTTGACCGCCAAAAGGCAATGACAAAGCTACTTGTATAACTTTCAATGTGTCTGGGCACTACAGCATGCGTTCTCAAAATCGTGTCCGTACGTCTCGCCAGTCTTTTGCGGGATGGCCTGGCAAACTTTTTGATGACCTATCCTGACATGATTATTCTTACGATCCTCTCGAGGCTCTTTAAGTCAACGCACGTAAAAGACCCATAAAGCGGCTGAAACCCCCAAGCTGCAAGCCTAGCCCAAAGACTCAGGGTTTAGGGCCCCGACCCCGGAAACCCCAAACTCCAAACCCAACCGCCAGAGACCCCAAACCTCCCGAACCCCAACCCTATACTCCAAACTCCTCAACCTACTCCAAAACCCAAACCATAGACTCCAAGCCCTGATGCCCGCACTCCAAACCCCCTTTTCATAGTCCCAGGTTCCATCTCATCTTCCATGTTCTTTCCCATTTGATTCTCCTATGTGGGCAGTAACCCCTACGCCCTAAATCCTACATCCTTGTGTGTATTCTTTTCACCCCACTTGGTTTAATGGCTCCGAACCCAAAACTCTGCATCCAAGGGACGCTCCTCTGACCTCTCGCGGGCGCGTGCGAGGAAGGCCTCCGCCCGGCCCCATTGGTCCTGCAATGTAGGAGCACTTAGAGCCAGTTTATAGGGGTTAGGGTTTGGGTTCTGGGGCTTAGGGTTTCCCACCCTGTAACAGTCTATAATAGGGGGCATTTTAAGGCCTACAAAAAAGCATGTTCTAAATATTCTTCAACTGTTACAGAGTGGAGGCAGTACCCAATAGAAGGAGACATGGGTTCAGGGTTTTGGGCTTCGGGGCGGCTACCCCAATTCTGGAGAATCAAATGGAAGAATAAAGGGATTAGGGTCTAGGGCCACAGTATTAAGGGATTATGGAGAGCCAAATGGAATGTACGTGGAACATGGAGTAGACACTTGGAACACATGCAGGTTTAGATGCCTGGGTAATCAGAAACCGTTTTCGGGGTAGAGAATACTGTGAGAAGTCTATCCTGGGTTGCTGTCACACAATTTTAGATTAAGTTACTATAATGAGGAATCCCTACTATCTAATTAAATCACAAGTTCCTTAACAGCAACTATGAACGAAGAATACTGGTAGTACTTGGTTGAGCCTTCGACATGAGGCGTAGGGCTTAGGGTTGACCTGTAGCTCCAGTAGTTGCTGCCAAGCCTTAGGGAATTGGAATTACAGGTAGAGCCTAAGCTTCGGGGATAAGGGTTGTGGGTATATGTCTTTCAAAGCCGAATCGGCTTTTTTTTGTGCCTAGTACGGTCCTATCACCCTTTGGTCAGTTCAACATAGGGATCAGGGTGTGGGGCATAGTAGGGTTGAGAGTTTGGGCTTGGGTTTGAGGTTCGGGGCCATTCGGGCTGTGAGATTTAGTGGACTTCTTGCCTTGGGTTTCTGGCACGAGGCTTCGTAGGGCTCGCGCTTTGCGATTTGGGGTCTTACAGCTTTAGGGCGGCCACTGACTAGGATCGCTTTTCAATGGTAACCCCTTTATCTAATATTAAACACCCCTCAGCCCAAAAATAAAACATAACCCATGAATATGCGATCTATTATTGAAAATATTCAATGTCAGCATTGCGAGGAGTGTATAATATGAGTGTCAGACTAGTTACTTCCCTTAGACCCAACATGAAGACGCTGCTGGCCTCTGCCCCTAAACCCCCATAAAATGTGATCTCTATTGCCACCCGCTCCTCGCCAGGCTGTGGCCACCAAACCTCTTCGAGCTCCTGGAAACCTGAGTACATGATGTGTAGGGTTTACCTGTAACCCCAATAACCTACAGTTTTATGGGTTATGCCTACTAATTGAGGGGTAATTTTTACTAAGCTATAGGTAATTGGGGCCACAGGTAGGGTTAAGGTTTAGGGTTAAACCAGCCAACCAAGAAGCAACTTGCAACCCCATCAACAACGTGGATTTAGGGGTAAGCCTTGAGCTGCAGCTTTTGTAAAGAGCACCACTTTACTACTGTGCATATCTGATATTCAGCTTCTACTCTAAAATTCTGACGACTATCCTGCTGTTTTGCGGCCATCATGACAGGGGCTTTGGCCTGAACTATTGTTTTAAAACTGGGGGTAATTTTTGTTGGGACGTGTATTTGTATGGAATATGGTGAAATCACCACATGAAGACATCTGCAGACAATGGTTCGAGAGACACAAGATGGGATGAACAGCATATGAGCTGTAGTCTAAACTCCTAGTATCCCCTTAATAATCTCTATAGTACTCCCCTATACACTCCCCTATCTAACCCCATATGCTGCCAATACCCATTTGTAAACGCAAAGTTCTGCCCGGAGTTCAAGTCCCTTTGTGTTCAATCAATGTAGATGGCGAAAATATCAACATTCCCTAAACAGGTGGACCCCAATATAGACCCCAAATTACTATAATCCTTATTGTAGGGACCCCGACCAAGGTACTCCGAATTTTTGGAAACCCCCATGATATCAACATTCTTACAGTCACAGGTTCCTCGTATATTCATGGTATACGGTACCTAAAACAAACCGCAAATTGCAACCCTAAACTCTAAACCCTCCCAACGGGGCCTGCAATTTTGAGACATGGAGGCTTGATATCAGGGTAACGTCTACTCTTAGACCCTAAGCACTAATTTTAATACCCTAAACCCTACTACACTGATACCCTAACACCCTAAGCCCTAATACCCTAACACCCTAAGCCCTAATCCCCTAACAGCCTAATACCCTGATAGCCCACTACCCTGATGCCCTAGTATCCTGATACCCTAAACCCTAAACCTTTAAGCCCTAAACCCTTAAACCCTAAACCCCTAAACCTTAAACCCCTAAACCCTAAACCCTAAGCCCTAATACCCTGGAACCCTACTCTCGAGGTTTGGACCCTTCCATGCGGAGATCTCCTCGAGGCCCGGATGTCTCGCATTGACCTCGGCCAGAAGTTTTCATAGGGATATTACGAGGTTCATATAAGTAGCGATTTTTTGGTGGTTAAACCCAGTAAGATAATGTTCCTTGTAGAAAAATAGTATACCCCAAAAGGAGGATATAATCTTACTCTATATTGGGTACCATAGTATCCCCAAATAAAATACTACTCATATAGGGTTCTGTAGGGATGTCATAGGGATTATGTTGGGTTTTGGGGCTACATAGGGATTATCTAGATTTCAGGGCAGCAATGGAGAATCAAACAGAAAAAAGGACATGGATAACCCTAAACCCTAAACCCTAAACCCATATGTAGGGTAGGCCAGCTCCATCTTGCCATCACAGCCAGGAAAATGGAGCACAGGGGACCTCTGAACAGGTCCTGAAAAACGGGTGAATGGATCCATGACAAAAAGCAATGCTCTGCAGCCTAAGCCGTTGCCCGTTTCCCTCTCAAAATGTAAGAAAACACAATGTGCTGCGAGAAAGAAAAGCCAACAATGAAGACACATAATACGCGGAGCTGACACGCCCGTAATGGCGATGATCATGACAATGCGACAAACTAGCACTAACAGCAGACAGAACTATCACGGCCACAACTGCCATGACAACCATGACGAGGGTCAACGAAGTGATGCCGAGGAGGGTCAGGACGAGGACGGAGAAGAAAAGGACGACAGAGAGTACTGACAACAATCATGTTCACGATCATTTCGTCACCATGACCTTACCTCCTACGCCCTAAGTATCACGTCCTAAAGCCTGAACCTCCTAACCCTATAAACTCCTAGCATCCCAATTACCAACCACTATAATACTCCCCGATATAACATATACTCCACTTAATAACTCCCCTTTTAGCAGTTTAGACCATAGCTCAACTTCTTCTCCCATATTATATACCCTATATAACCCATTATAGTAGTTTCCATTTTATTTTCCATTATCCCCAATGTAACCCCCTAAACCCTAAACCCTAAACCCTTATTCTCTTCAGCCAAGGAAGCCAGCTCCGATTTCACCGTCCCCTCGTCACAGGGGGCACTCCAACGCTCGCTGATGCCAGGATCCACCTCTGCAAGGCCTGCCATGATGTCAAAACTTGAGGATTTAGGGGTTTAGGGTTTAAGGTTTAGGGTTTAGGGGTTTAGGGTTTAGGGTTTAGGGGTTTAGGGTGTTTAGGGTGTTTAGGGGTCCTCTAATAAGATTGTAGTATGTTGGGCCAAGATACGGGATTTTTCCAAACTCAGGGGACCCCAGTATAGACCCTAAAGACTACAATCCTTATAAGAAGGACCCCCCCCAAAAAGGAATCCCTAATGTTGGCGAGACCTCTGAACAGGCTGGGCGGTGCTTTGCTTCACACAAGCCATTCCTTACTAATTCTTAGTAGGGAATAAGGCAATAAGGGAATATACTATACAGGGGCTATATAGGGATTAGAATCCTTTATTCCCTACTAAGAACCAGTAAGACAACTCAATCCGTTTCCATTTTGTATCACCTCTCTCCCGACATGACATTTGATCTAACGGAAACTGATGCTGGGCTCTGAAACCAAATCTGGGCCTTTGCTTACGTGCCAGACTAATTATGAGGGAAGTTCGAAGGGAATTGGAACACGCGAGGAGAAGTCGGACCATGTGGGGCATGAGGGTTTGGATGAGATACGTAAACATACCTGGAGGATCAGGGGGACTTAGTAAGTAGGTTAAGGCTGGGGATAGCTAGGGTTGCTATATGGGTTAGAGGGATTAAAAGTATACTTGCTAAGTCCCCCTAACCCTCCAAGTAGAGGTTTCTTAAGATGGTGGTTGAATGACTCCAGGATTATGCACGACTGACAGGAACATGTATTCAAACATCTCCCTCAAGGATGACAACTTCAGAAACTCATGCACCCTAGAACCGCTCAACCCCAAACCCTACACCCTCAACCTCTCAACCCCTTAGCCCTAGAAGCCCTAAACTCTACACCCTAAGCCCTAAACCCTACACCCTAAGCCCTAAACCCTAAACCCTAAATCCTAAATCCCAAATCCTAAAACCTAAACCCTAAACCCTCAACCCTAAACCTAGGCCAACCTAGCCTCCACCTCCCATCAGCAGCCCCGCTGTTTGCATAGCTCGCGTCAGGGGGCTCGTCACCACAACCTGAAGAATGTTTTATCCAATTGATTTAGGGGGTTTAGGGTTTAGCGGGTCTGGGGTTTAGGGCTTAGGGAGTTTAGGGTTTTAGGTTTGGGGGATTTAGGGGGTCTAGGGTTTGGGGGGTTTAGGGTTGAGGGTTCAAGGTTGAACATTTGAGGCTCAGGGTGTTTATCTGAAGAGTCTTTTATTTGGTGGTTGAATTAGGTGAACGTCTTTTTTAAGGGGTATATGGGGGCATGTAGGGTTTAGGCTGTCTTCTGATGGTTGAAGAAAGTCATATGATGTTCTTCTTCTAGAAAACTGCAACCATAAGCACACGCTGATCTTACTTGTTTTAGCTCAACCGGGGCAAGCCAACAAACCTGAGAGTTTTCGGGTTTGAGTGTTTTCGAGCAGATCAGGGCCTCACAACCCCGAAGCCAAAAGAGGCATTCTATGATCTAAGGAACCTTCCATTGTGAGGCAGCATGGCGAGATAATGATTCTCTGCCATATACTAATTTCCATCGTCTTTGCTATACCCTAAACCCAATGTGGCGGTCGCGATTTTCATTTGCATTCTTTGTGAAATAAGACAGTACAGTGGTACCTACATAATCCCCCATCGTACTACCCGTACCTAATTCCCTCAGTCCCTCCAAAACCCTACGCCCCTAAAACCCTAAAACCCTTAAACCCTTAAACCCTATAACCCTAAAACCCTATAACCCTCAAACCCTATAACCAAGACTAGGAAACCTTTGCTTTCTGATCTCACCGTCACCTGCGCGCCGCGAACAGCCTCACCAGCTGGACCTTCCTTTGCCTGAAGATTCATTGTCTTCGTAAGGATATAGTCCCCCTTAAGTAGATAGAATATGGCTTTGGGTATATTATAATAAGATCCCCATATATCCCATATTCTATCTACTTAAGGGGGACTAAGGGTATGTAGCAGCCCCCCATTTCCTTCTAAACACGTGTAATTTGTAATTAGTCTGAGTGCTTAAGGTTCAGCGTTTAGGGCTAGGTTTTAGGCTCTTTTAGGTTTGGGGGGTTTCCTTGATGAGGCCCACGACACATCAGGGCTCTGAATGAGAGACCTCATAACAGCAGGAGCAAAGGATGATCATTGGCGAGCATGACAATGCAGTAGTAGCAGGGTCCAAGTACGCAAAAGGTTTTTAGATCCCCAAAACCGTTCAGATGATGCTTGGGTACTCCAACCCTCTAGGTAGGTAGCTGATAGGAGAGCCTCAAAATCGCGGCCGCTTTTCGGGGTCCTGACCCGAGCTAGTGCTTGCGATGTATTCAAGAGATTTTTGGAAGAAAGAGCCCACAAGTCTGGGTGAATCAGCCCGCGTTTTGCTGCATGCCAACATTGCAAGTTTCAGTCTGCTCTCATCCGTCCAAACGGATCGCAGCTTGGACAACAGAACGTGTCACGACAGGAACCCCATAGACCCCTCAGGCATATGGATCCCCAATGCACGTTTTTGGAAAGGGGATTTTTAAGAACCGCAACTCCTTCATGCAGGAGGTATTTGGCCACATGCGTTTTGGGCGGCCGAGAAAAATCTAGGCTAGCTGATGCTTACTTAATGAATGGCTTCCCACCACTGGCATTCAAATCCTAAACCCTAAATCCTGAACCTAAACCCTAAATCCTAAACCCTAAGCCCTAAGTCTTATCAACCCTAAATCCTAAACCACACCCACTCCCTAAGGTCAAATGGGTCCAGAGTCCAAAGCTAGTTCGAGTTCCTGCAAGGATCAGTTGATAGAATTCAGAATAGTACGTAATAATATTGCGGTGGATGGAAGAAATCTTGCACCACTTAGATATGCAAGATTTCCTCCATGGACCCCAAAAACCTAGGTTTCAAATTACCCTACACCGTACGCCAAACCTAGCTAAACCTTGAAATCATCATGGTGGGCAGAAGAGACTGAAATCCGGCCTTCAGCGCTTGCGCGATGCCGGCCTGGGGGTTTTGCAGCAGTATGGATCCCTTCTGGGTGGATATCCCTAATATAGACCCCAATATACCAGAATCCTATGAGGAGACCCCGGGTTTAGGGTTTAGGGTTTAGGGGTTTAGGGTTTAGGGTTTAGGGGTTTAGGGTTTAGGGTTTAGGGGTTTAGGGTTTAGGGTTTAGGGAGATACATACAGATGTGGGGGCTGTGTAGTCAGTCAGGTCATGGGCTTCTATGGGAAGTTGGATGCCCAGGACCCCATGCTGCTGGTGATTTTTCAGTGTGGCCCAAAAGTTTTGCAGAGGAAGTCTTGCAGCACCCCATCAAGTCCAAATAATCAAAGTTGCAAAGCCTTAGAGATGCCCCGTGGTGCAATTTCCCCCATCCACCCTAAACCCTAAACTTGAAAGCCTAAACCTTAACAACAACATCATAACCCCAACATATAATCCATAACCCCTATACAGCCCATTATCGTAGTTTCCACTTTATTTTCCATTATCCCAATATAATCCCTTTGGAGAACGACCCACCTCTGTCAGAGGGTTGTCTGGGTTGTTGACCAAGGCGTGGTCAGCGTTGTGACCTGCCTGGGCATGGCGCACAAAGGCAATCCAGCTTGGGTTGGAGGGCACCTCCTCCACCTTAGCTCGAGGATTTAGGGTTTATGGTTTAGGATTTAGGGTTTAGGATTTAGGGTTTAGGGTTAGCGTGTAGGTATGGTTAGATAGCCATTGGGGGAAATCTTAGGGTTCCATTGGGGTTATATGAGGATAACGGAAAAGAAAATTGTAACTACGATAATGGGTTAGATAGGGTTTAGGGATTAGAGCTGAGGGTGTAGGGTATTGTTGGGGGTTCTGTACGGACTGCTATAGGGTCCGGGTCCATTACTTCATTCTTTGCTAACCATAGCTAAGCCGCAGATGTATAGAGCTTCGGGTAATGAGGCTCTTCAGCGCTGAAGCCGTCCAGCGTCATAAGCTCGACTCTGAACTGCTTCCATACTCCGGGGACCGGATCACATCCCAGGCAAGCACAGGAGGTAAATAGCGGCCGATTTGCGCGAAGGATCTGCTTCACCGCATCCGTACATACGGCTCCCTTGCCACTCTCTTCTTGCCAGGGAAATTCTGGATCCCCAAACCAGGCGCGTATGACGTTATCACAGCCTCCGGGAAGAAGCCTAGGCTGTTGGGGAGCAGCGGGGGGCCCCCCCTTGGCAAAGAAAAGCTCTCAAAGACAAGAAAGCTTTTAACCCAGGCCCCTGAACCTCCACAAACCTAAGTTCTTAAAACGCCAATCCTGCCCAAGCAACAGCTTCGTGTCTTCGTAGCATTGCAGCACTGTTCCAGCTGCCACAACCTGAAGACATCTGTTTCGTGTGTGTGTGTGTGTGTGCGCGCGTGCAAGCAGGTTTAGGATTTAGGGCTTTGAATGGCTGCACGCCCCGCCTTCAGGTTACTTGGAGGTCTATGGGCACCTACAACCTACTGGTATCTGAGAATTATACTTTTTAAGCTTAGAGTACAAACTATATATGAACTAAACGACCTACAATTAGGGCAAGAAGGGAGTAGATTCCAAAAACTCTTGCCCAAGGCGTGTCCCTCAGTACTTGTTGAATTTGCTTTGCTCTGCGCAGTGTCGTCGTGCTTGAAGTGTTGGCCGTAGAGTGTATGGTTATGGAGGCCCCTGTTTTCGTTCTTAGAGTTCTATACGTAGAAACTGAAATTCGGTCGGGGAGCGTGAATCTATCTATGGCAAAATGCATCCCTAGCCCTACTGTACCAGGCATTTGAACATGCGGATTGCTGATAAACCTTAAATCCTAAACCCAAAAACCTGCTTCAGGAACAATGTGAGGCTTCACGGTGCAGTCCGCAAGGGCCCCAGTGTCGGCGTCCAGAACCTCCCCGGGTGTTTAAAATCAGCTGGGCTCTGTCAAAGAAGCCTACAGGGTTTGGGGTTCTAGGGTTTTCGAGATCGTTTAACTAGAAATAAGCTTTTGGGTATGATCAGGATTGGGAGGGAATAGCATCATCTTGAATACGAATACTGAGGCTTTTACGCTATGCGTTTTTGGCTTCTCACATGTGCTTCAGAGGCTCAAATGCAAGGTGCCCTTCGGAATCCTGGGCAAGGATGGGTCACCATGCAAAACATGAGGCCTCCTGGAGCCTGAACCCTTTAGTCCCCCTTAATTAAGTAGCTCGAATATAGCTTTGGGGGTATTATAATAGGATTCCCAGGTACCCCATACTCTGTCTACTTAGGGGGGGCTATAAGCCCATAAAGGACTGCGTAGGCATAGTTTGGAGGAACGTCATCTCAAGAAGAACATTCCCGATGTCCATGATAAAGCCCAGAATACGAGGATTTTTCCCTTCTTCGGACACCTCAAAGAGGATGTATAATTACTCTGGTTTGAACAAATGTATATCTCACACTCCTGCGAAACATCATATGCTGTTCCAGGTTTTTTGCAACGGTGCTGCTGGCAACTTGATGCTGACAGCATAATTCACAGCCTTCATGGCTTCGTCCAGGGACAGGTACGGCCGGAACTGAAGGACTCGCCTAGCGTTGGAAACTTGCAGCTGCACTGGTTGTGGCTGCTTCAAGGTCCTTGCGAAGGTTCACTACCATTGAGGTGTCTGCTCTGTGATCATATTTTCTTTCCTCTATCCAGAATTTGCTCACGACCAGTGATTCCTTGCGCCACTGTTTGCACCAGCATGTTCCCGTAAATCCGAGACCTCGTCGCATTCGGCATGCAATCTTTTCAGCATGCCGCCACCCTGAATCGCCCTTTGATTTCTGTAGCGCGCTGTACGTCAATTACATCTCTCCATCCGGCTCGGTCATCGACCATCCCCTACCATGACAATCAATGCAACATTCATCAGCAACGGCATTGTGTTCCACATATGTAGAGTCTAAGGTTTAGGACCCATTACTTATGAAAACTCCCGTTCTCAGTACTGAACTCCAGTTCTGAGCATTGACCCTTTATATAGGGTCTAAGGTTTAGGACCCATCAGCTGTGTAGGGGCTTAGGGTTGAGGAGCCCATAAGTGGTGGGCTTAGGACCCCAGAAGCCTCTCCCCTAGTTATGTTAATACTACTTGAAAATTGGGGATCCTTGGTCATATCCACTAATACTTGAGGGTTTAGGGTTTAGGATTTAGGGCGTAGGATTTAGGGTTTAGGGTTTAGGGTGCAGGATTTAGGGTTTAGGGTGTAGGGCTTAGGGTTCAAAATTTACCCAGCTGCCAAAACACTGAAAACCCTTTTTCCTCAGATCACCCCTGCGACCCCATCAGACGACCCCTACTTTTTGGAAGCCCCATTTGGCTACTGCTTGCTAGTAGGGGGATGGAGGAATAGATCCCAATTTTAGCAACTGTACAACCAGCAAGAATACAAGAGTCTCCGTATTTGCCTCCATCCCTTCGCTCTCTACTAACAACCAGCAAGCACTGGAGCGCCTGGAGTGTCGACTGTTGCAATCTTATCTTTGTAACCCTAGCCCTGATCTGTGGAGTCTATAGCTCCGTGTATATAGATATATATGTACACACATAACTTCATATACTATATATCCACATACTCCTACACAATCGTTTAAGAGGCCCCCTCATCTTTTGGCAGCCCAATTTGGGTGCGTTTGCTACGGAGAAGTCACTCGGTGGCCTCGCGGACTCTGGTTCCAGGCCCATCGCAAGCAACTCCTCACTTAGCAGTCCGGGTTTAGGATTTAAGCTGTAATTCGAGTAAGGGTTTGGGAAGACTTAGGGATAGCGTGAAAGGGCTTAGGACTTAGGGGTTTGGGATTCGGAGTCGGAGTTCAGTTTCTTTGCATTTGCAGTGAACATGGCGATGGGGGATGAGGCTTCGACTGCGGATGTAATGATCTGAGAGGCCTTTGCGTACTGCCCCTGCCCAGTATCAGTCTGAAATTATTCCGAGCAATGTAGAGACCATTACATATCATATTCTGCTATTATAGACACCTCTTGCTGTGCGGGGGCAGTCTCCGAAATTGCCCTGGAATGCATACATCGACAAACCCAGGCCAGCAAAACTCAGCCTGAACTACCGAAACCGACCCTGCGCCCTACAGCCCTAAACCCTAAACCCTAATATGGCTGAACTTCCTATCACCAGGTTTGAGCAACTCTGGGACTTCTCTTGAATAGCCCAAGACCCTGCTGGTTTAGAGTTTTAGTGTGTAGGGCCGTCCAGGGTTCAGGATTGCCGTGGTCCCTCTCAGGGGTTTCTTCTTTGCCTCCCGGTGCTGCCTGGATGCACGCCCAAAAGCCCTAGGCCCTAGACATGCGTTCTACAATACTCAGGTGTCAGCGTTTCAAGATGCAAGCGTAATTACTGAACCCGAATGCCAGCGGTTGTGGGATGGAACATCGTGTCAAGGGTTGTAAATGGCAAGCACAACAACAATGATGAGCAAACATGATAGTCATGGCTGTGGTGGTGATGACGATGATAATGATGAAGATCTCCAGGCATCACACTGCTACTACACTGCTACTTCCACCTTCCGTAATACTAATAACCATACTTATAACCATAATAATCACAAGAAACATGACTAGTTAATATTGATATTCATTTATGAATACTACGTGGACTACTAAGAATACTCCTAATACCCATATTGATCGAATTATACGTAAGTTTAGGGAAGAGCGACCTCGAGGCAACCAAGCGAAGTGCAAAAAGTTACGGGGACATAACAAATGTCCTGTATAATGAGAGGATATATTATACGGTTCTAACAGGGCATGTTGAGATAATCGGTGTATATGGGGGTATACAGGAGCCTCAAGCAGGACCCTATCAGTGAAGAATCAGCATTTCTAGACCCCACTAAATCTTCAGCCCTGATATCAAAGCCCTCAACCGCAAATGCTAAATCCCAATCAAATCCCATGTCTAGAACCTCGGTAAAAAGGAGCTATACATTAGGTTGGGCCCTGGGCCAACTAATAGTGACCACAAGGGATACTGGTATCGATATTAAGCTCCCGTATCCCCAAGTACCATTACAGTGGATACTAAACAATTCTGCATGAACCTGAATATCCTTTACCTTACAGTATAGGAGGGTCATGCAGGATTGCGAGTATCAACAGCATCACTTAGTGAGTGCCTATCCAGCCCACAGACATGGACCCTTTCTACCTTCCATTATACCCTAAGTACTCACTAAGTCATCTATAACACCCTGCATACTCCCTAAGTCCTATATTCGACGCGATTAATATGCACTATACTGCCATTTAAAACCCCTAAAACCCTAGACCCCTATCCAAGGGTATCAGGAGGGTCCCGGTATTCCGGATCCCGCCTCCTCTGCGCAACCATTCAGCTCCAGAGTCATGGCTTAAAGTGTTTTTTTTGGGGGGGGTTGGGGTTTAGGGTTTCGGGTTTAGGGTTTGGGGTTTAGGGCCTACCCAGACGCCCTCCAAAAGATGGAACCTCCCGCGTGTAGGAATGGGGCTCATTTTGGGCGTTCCATGTTTAGGATCCCTTAGAGAGTCCGACTTCCTGGTGCTTAATGAAGAGGCGGGGGAGTGGATCCCCGTAAAATGCCTATATGGGGATTGGTGTTTCTGGAATTTTCTAGGCCCCATAACAAAGACTCCAACAGTTTGAAATCCAATTAGTGAGGAATTGCTTCCCCCCCTCTGTAAGAGCACAGCCAGCTCAGGGAAGCGACCTCATGCTGATGCAATATCATATGTGCACGTCTCTTAAGCCTCTCAGAACAGTCAATCACCAACTGTAACTGGAAATGGCAGACTAAAACCCTTGAGGGGAGAAGGCTTGCATCCACGACGAATACAATGCAAATCGAATACAATGCAAAAAACGCAACAATCCTTTTTGCTGATCTTACGTCCAGACTGCCTATCCGGAATATGACCTCATGAATAAACTTTTTATTGTTACATGGCTGCTGCCTATTGCTCTTTTTCCCATCACAAATCAAGGCATTCGTCTCGGCGGCAGGTGCGCCCGTTTCGGACCGATGTGTGGCATGTAAACGTGCTCCCACGATCCCTTCCTGACTTCCGTGCTGCCCCGAGACCCGCTCTTGACTTATACAGATGGTTTCATGGCCGATCGGTTCAGTTTAGAAGAGAGAAAGACAAGCTTTCTGTGCAAAAGCATGCTACCAGCAGCTGAGGATTTGCAACCTCCGACTTTTCTCATTCGTCTTGGAACTATTCAGATGCCATTGCTGGTCCCGGAGTTTGACTAGCTGCCCTCATCCAAGCCGGCCAACATGCCCCAAACATGGCAGCCCCGTGAACCCCAACGTCCCTGATGTGCAGAAGCTTCTCCATAATCCATCTTGATATCCATCTTGACATCTGTCAGGATATCCTGATATTTCCCAGAGACACAGGGAGCGCGAGAGAGAGACAGAGAGAGAGAGCGAGAGAGAGAGAGAGAGAGAGAGCGAGAGAGAGAGAGAGAGAGAGAAAGAGAGCGAGAGAGAGGGAGCGCGAGAGAGAGAGAGAGAGAGATAAGAGAGAGAGAGAAGAGAGAGAGAGAGAGAGAGAGAGAGAGCATCCCTATACTTTCACATATATAAGGTTGTATACACATATACAGATAGATACATACATACATACCTACCTACCTACCTACATACCTACCTACCTACATACATACATACATACATATGTCTGTACATACCCAATGAGCCGCCGAACAACTACACGCATGCTTATCCCAAAAAGGCACTCTGACACTCTGTATACGCACCCACTGATCTGCCAAACGAACCCAATTTTCGTAAGAGCCCTGCACTAAACTTATAGCATATTCTTTGAAAGTCCCCCTAAACCCCGTATACATCCCCCATAGGTCCCCCCGAAACCTAACCTCAGTCCGTAGCTCACACAGGCTCGCCCGCACATCCCGACCCGCATGCAACCTATGAACCCCCCAATCCTAACACCCAAACCTTAAACCCTAAACCCAGAAACCACCACACTCTAAACCCCTAAACCCTAAACTCTAGCTCTAAGCCTTGACTTCAACCCTAAGCTCTGAATCCTCACCCCAAAGTCTTAAATCCTTGGTCCCACTCCGCAGCCTGAAACCCCCAAAACCTTGAAGTTCAGACTGACAACCCCCCCCACCCAACTATTACTCCCTCTAAGCTTCCCCTTAGCCAGGGGCATTTAAGGATACTTAGGACAATTCCCCGGTGGCCTCTTCGGCCTCCTCAGGCTGAGGGAAAAGCTCTCCTCCTTGAGAGGAGAGGTTGGCCTTTGCCCCAAAAGCAAGTCAATCCTACGGGGTTTAAGGTTCAGGGTTCAGAATTTGGGGTCAGGTCAGGCTTTAAGTCTAGGGTTTAAGCTTCAGATTTTAAGATTTAGGATTCATATTTTAAGGTTCAGCATTCAGGGCTTAGCATATGGGAGTTAGAGGGTCTAGGGCTTCCCTGTTCCTCTGTTTTTTCCAGAGGTTTCCGGTTAAGGTCCATTTTAGTTCCGGGCTTTGGAAGGGTCAGGGATCGGGGCCTCCTTTTGAGGGCACCTCGTCATTAAGATTCCACTACGTTTGGGAATACATCAACCGAACTCAAAGAGACAATGGTCAATGGTCTGAAAATCCAACAGCGTCTTTGGCTTGTGCAGCCCTAGGAAACGGCATCACAACATGCGGTCACATGTTGCACATGTGACAACGTACCTGGAGGGTCAGGGGGATTTATAATAAAGAGGTTA